ACCTTGGGTGTACATGGCTGGCGCCTTAGCCACTTGAGCCACAGGCGCCGAGCCTTTTATTTTATTTTTTTTTTTGAGACAGAGTCTGAAGCTGTCACCCTGGGTGGAGTGCTGTGGTGTCGCAGCTCACAGCAACTTCATACTCTTGGGCTTAAGCGATTCTCTTGCTTCAGCCTCCCAAGTAGCTGGGACCACAGGCGCCTGCCACAATGCCCATCTATTTTTTTCGTTGTAGTTGTCATTGTTGTTTGGTGGGCCCAGGCTGGATTCAAACCCACCAGGTCCGGTGTATGTGGCTGGCACCCTAACCACTTGAGCTACAGGCACTGGGCCAGATTTCCCACTCTTGCCATTTTTCTCCCTTGTCCCAGTGCCATCCTGACACTGTGCTTTCTGGCTTCTTTCCTGACACTGCAAGAAGCCTTTTCTTTTATGAAAGGCAGTAAGTCCTTAGCCTTTGCCTACAGTTCCCAGGGAGCTAAAACTGAACAGGAACTCAGGGAATATAGCACAAATACTTCAGCTCATCCTTCTGACAACCAGATTAATCCTTAAATTGTCCCAAATTCCAGGTTCCTCACTACAGAGAGAAGCTGTCCAAGAGAAAAAGCTGGAATTACCCACCTACACAGAGGGCCATCTTATAGGGTTTAGAACTGTGTTAGGAGAGTTGGGGATGTGTGTGTTGGAGGGGAGGCTACTGTTGGCTTCTGCCTTGTTCTTGGCATTTTAAGGAGTCTTTCCCTTGGTAAAAGGAGGAGACTCTGAAGTGAATTGAGTTACTCTTACAGATCTATGGAATTTTAGAAAAAATTAGATTTGAAATTTTTGTTTTGTTTTTTAAGACAGAATCTCATTTTGTTACCTTCAGTACAGTGCCGTGGCGTCATAGCTGAGAACAACCTCAAACTCTTGGGCTCAAGTGATCCTCTTGCCGCAGCCTCCCACCAAGTATCTGGGACTACAGGTGCCCACCACACTGCCCAGCTATTTTTAAGAGACAAAGTCTCGCTCTTTCTCAGGCTGGTCTGGAATCTGTGAGCTCAGGCAATCCACCTGCCTTGCACTCCCAGAGTGCTAGGATTATAGGTGTGAGCCACCTTGCCCGGCCTAGATTTGAAATTTTAGAAAAATTTAGATTGTTAGCTTTTCTAGAAGTTACTGATGGATCTGCAGTTTAGGGGTCACATACTCTCCTGGTAGTTACAGGATGCTAACAAGGTCCCAAGACATGAAAATGACTTGCACACCCTGGCTGCTGCTACTTAGGATTAAAGGAGAGAGCAGAAGATACTGGGAATCAATTTGGTGAGGGCAAGGTAGAGAAGAGCAATATTAGGTGAAGCATGCTTGAGGTGAGGAGAATTCCTCCTGAGAATCACAGAATGTCCAAGCTGGAATGAAACAGATCATACATTCCACTGTTTCCCAACACATGGGATATATTTCCCACTGCTCTCCAGGAAAAAGAGGCGCTTGCAAGGTTGTGCCCTTCCCCCACCATGCACAGATTCTATGGACCACTTGCATCAGGATCATCTGTTAAACTTGAATTCCTAGGGCCAATTCCAGGTGGACTGAGTCAGAATTACTCAGACTCAGGGATCTATGTTTTTGACAAACTGCCCCTGTTCATTCCCAAGCAATTGAAAGCCACTGGCTTAGAGGGTAGAATAAAAGTCTCTGGTAAGTGTATGTTATTTGAAAAAAGCCCCCAGTGCAATTCTCATGTGACCTACCAGGAAGGGAGCGCAAACTTCTCAGAAAAATTACTAATCTAACATTTTCAATTTATAGCTAAGGAAAATGAGATCTAGAGGATAGAAATAGGAATAACACTGAGTGCTATTTTTTTTTTTTAAGGTCTCACTATGTCACCCTGGGTAGAGTGCTGTGGCATCACAGCT